AAAGGTTTGAATTGTCCCGTTGTTATTGATATTAAGTACGTTAATTAATCAATATTTTCTGGTATATTTGGATCCTGTGTGGACTGTTACGATGTTACTTTTGATTACAAATTTCTAATCTATTTAGACTGGGACTAACAGTACAATTAGGGGTGTATATTTCATCCTATCTGGACTTGTCAGCTAGTTGTATCCGCATCTCAATGTTGATGTTTATACACTAAAACCTATATGCAGTACTTATTACTTCATGCGCGATCTCATTATCTACTAAGTTACTCAGTTTAAACATCTAATGACTTGTCAAGCAGGTATGAATTTCATTATTAGATGATTGACGACTTATATAAGTTCTGATAAGTTGAGTCAATACGAAATCATGCTATTTAAACATCAAATAAATTTCTTTATGATTTTCCTTAATTTTCAACATTAAGTTTGATTACATAGGTGGTAAATTGTATTAACTTTATTTATGTCACAGTTCACGTTGATATGGTACTTATTAACCAAGTATTGATTCCTGTACTAAATTTTAAGTTAGATCATTTTTATAAGAGCTACTGATGGCATCTGACTGCGAAGTAGGAAGAAGATTTGAACCTGTGGTTTACTGGTTGAAAGCCAAGGGATTTAATTACTGTCACTACTTCAAGAACCCCATTACAAATTATTTGTTATATGCTTCTGAAAACAACCATTGACAGATTATGTTTGCAGAACAGATAGACTTAGCGTATGTGAAATTGTTAGACAACTCACTTGTACGTGTTGATTTCATTCAAAACAACAATAAAAGCTGAGCTCGTGAAGCCATCTAGATCATTAAACGCAACACCATCAAAAGCATCCAGATGAACTATAAATCTTCATCATCATACTATAATCACTATCAACCATATAAAAGTGTTACCATTATCTCAAGATTATTTAAATGTATGCAGATGAAATTAGGTTTGAACTTGTGACATGATGATTGAAAGTTAAGTTTTACAGGAGTTAGACAAACACGATATTAGTTGCTGAATTCACACTGACCACCAACCAATATCAATATTTCTGTTCAGGGACTATGGTTTCTTGCCAATTCCTTCCGGTCAATAAAAAGGTTTATTGTACACAGCCTAATCACTAAATTCCTGAAAGCGATAATTAAATACCAACTAATAGCAATCACACAAAGAAACAATATTGACTGTCCATTAATCGTGTTAATATGTACAGTTATTTTGTGCCATTATTGATCAACACTCAGAAAACTAGAGGGATATAGACAACTAATGTATACATAATAGAATAATAAAAAAAATGAAAGGCCGGTGTGTAGGCGTATTTACAAATATACTGTGGATATATATATATATATATATATATATATATATATATATATATATATAAGTAGTCAATACATACACACCACCAGTGTACACAGTTAATACGTGCATATATATTTCAGCAGGTTCTGTACCCCGTTGGTATCATACCGAAGAAGCAAATAATATTTCTGAAAAAGATTTTCATCCTTTTAAACAACATAATTTGGAAATTCTTAAAAACGAAATAACATTTTGCACAGTTCTTACTTTTCAAGTTACTTTGTTTTTCTCTTTAAAATGAAAACTGGACAAGTGGTACAATGTTTAAGATTTTTCGGTGAGACTATAATTTATGGACGATTTTTGAACGACGCTAAAGTGACTTTGAGAGTATCCCCCTAACAACTACGACTAAATGAGGGTTATGAACCATTGTAATTATAAAATTTTATAAAAGGGGCTAATTGCTTTAAATGAGAATTATGATTTACAGTTGATGGTTAAGGTTGGTAATTAGATTTAGGATTTTCATCACGAATTGACATTAGCTATAATGCCAAAACGCCTTTTAGCCAAATGGATGAATGAATTTTGCGCCAAAATCTTATATCTGACTGGTTCGTCCATAAGTAATAGTCACACCGATTTTTCATTAGATTACAGTTAAATGGAAATACTGTTCCAGCTATTGAATACTAGATTGAGGTGGGTAATATAATTAAAAGGGAAAGAATTGGGTATTTCGATTATATTGAACTTGTTTTGCTTCCAGTTTATTGATTTCTAATCGGGAATGTGCATTTGTAATCAGTTATAGACATAAGCAACATAGAACCTGGGATAAATATGAGTTAGTACAAATCTCTATACCATATTATCAATCTGAGACTTAATTAGCAAGACGAATGCTAAAGGAGTTGAAATTATTGCAGTAACAATGATAGTGAAAAAGATTAAATGTTCAGCATATGGACAGAGTAGACAGAGTGTAAAGAAGATATGTATGAATGAACGCCAAACCTCAAGATCGAGAGGAAGATAAAAAGTGAACGTATCTATCTCAGTGTGACAGCGATTCTGACCCATACCATTCGAAATCGCTAGTTTTCAATCGTGGTTTTCACATAGACACTAACAAGGTAGTCTGTGCCAACCAACATGGCTGAAACCAGTAATCAGTACTTTCATATAATGATGCCACATCTTCATTTGGTCGCTAAGGTTCATTTGTATATTTCAGCAAAATAATGCTCATTTCTAGATATTCGAAAACATGTCGTTGAATATGACTACTGGAGGTAACCAATTCACCAAGTACAGGTTTAGGTACTCAACTTTGACTAATACTGCTTGTTTGGCAACCATTTAATTACCTAAACCAAATTAGGTACTCCAGTGTTGGTTGAGAGTCAACTGTTTTAAACATTAAACTATCATGATAGTAATTCACCGGAACCTCTTTTGAAGAACATACTATGAACTTACTTTTCAATGATAGTGGCTAAAACCTTGTTATTTAATTCTTTGTGTTCTGTATTTGTAAAAACAAAAAGAACATATGCATAGTTCACCAAAATGTTTATAAAAATGATTATCTGGACTAGGATAAATTATTTACGGGTCAAATATTAAACCATGTGACACAATGATTGACCTTGTACTCATTACACATGCATAGGGATTTAATGAAATTATTCTATTGTTGACACTACTAGATATAGACCGATAGGTTAGTTTCTGCAACTTTTGAACCTATACAGATCGATATGTCATAATTTTGAATGAACAAAATTTAAAGAAAATCAATCTCACTTTTGGTTAACCGATTTTTAGAGATCCATTTACTGTACAGTATATATCTAATATGACGAGTAGTGAACTACGCCTAACAATAAGTTGCGAATGACCTGCATTTGGTATATTCTCCACTTGTGTATTTGTTAAATGACTGCTAATCGTGTCTGTCCTTATGTTCAATACTTTATATATAGACGTGTTATGTTATTATAAAACAAAGAGTATTCTATTGGGTAACTGTTTTGACTTCTGATACCAAGTAACCTGTGGAGGAACTCGAATGCCTCACTTCTGTCTGAAATTTTTGTGCAGGAAGACAATGAAGACTTCACGATCAAACCATCTAGCTCAAGAAACAAAACACCACCAAAAAAATTGATGGAACTAACTGTCACTACCATATGGTATCACTGAATCCTATCTATCGATTAGAATTCTAGATATATATTTTAATGATTACAAGCCTCGTTTACATATTAGATCCTCCTGTATAACAACTTCAAAATCATATTAAGACCCTTTTTGAGAACATTTCATATTTAACTCTGCTTTTGACTTACGTAAACCGTTTTTATTTTCTTAACACACTTAACACTTTTAAATAGAAACCTTACAAATTTTCAAATCAATTGTCTTTTGTTTCATAAGCTGTAGTGATGTTAATAGTAGCCATCTATCTATTGATCCAGAGTATTAAACACAATCATAGGTGGAATGTCCAACTGGTAGCTCCTCACTATCATAATCAGCCTTCGTATAAATTAAAAGAACTAAATACCATTGTAAACTAAGATGGTTGGTGGCTAGCACATATGCCAATAAGAGACTGGCCAATTACAGTTCTGAGCATCAATGGGAAAATTCGAACAAACAATACCAATAATCAAAAAATTACTACAATCTCTACGAAACCCCCTTTCTGATAATAATCATCATATGCTCACGAGTGACTGGCTTCAAGAGGTATTTCCTGGAGTTCTAGTGGGAAACCGTGACCAGTGGAGTTCAACCAGGTCTGTTGAGATATCAACTCACTGAAGACAATGACCCGATTTCGTGGATAGGTTGAAGTTAGACACTGACACCGTTGGATGCCGGCTCATTGATCTACAGGTTAAACATTCGCGCGCGAGATTGAAGGTCCTGGGTCCGAATCTGGCGGGGGGGGAGGAACCATGGATGCTCACTGCTGAGGAGTCCTACACTAGGACGAAATGGTTGTCCAGTGCTTCCAGGTTTTTCATGATGGTCTAACTTCAATTGACTCATGATTTCAACTAGTGAAATTCCTAAAATCTCCACAAAACCCCCTCTGACTTGAAAATATGTTAGATTAATTTTTGGTAACTTCATTACCGGTACAACAAATTCCTGTTTTATTTATAAAATTAACCTGTAGATATGAATGTACAACATTTTAGAAAATAACATGATTGACAAACAATTTTTCTTCGTTGAAATATCTTTTACTTCACAATTGATTGATCACTGGGTGGTGATCAATGTCATGCTTGTCTAGTCCTTATTAGTGCAGATCGAATGCTATCGATCATGTTGCAATGTGGCCACCAGTCTAGGTGACTACATCTCAGTCCTACAGGAGGTTAGTCACGGCTCGGATAGCTCAGTGGTAACGTCTCTGACTGTGAAGCTGGGTGACACGAGATCGAATCCGCCAGGGAGCACCAGTTCCCTCAAGATTACAGGTACACCTTGCTGACGAGTGCCAAGTAGCACGAAACCCGGGTCCAGGGTTTCCTGTTGACTACCTTCAACCACCATCTAAATCTTTTACTTCACTTACAAACGGAACAGATATGAGTGCATTTTGAAACTTTATTTCATAAAACAAGTAGATATTTAAGAAAATTAAAAAGAAAAAAACAAGACAGAAACAATTAACAAACAGAATTTTATATTAATCCAACAAGTTATATACTACACAGTACACTGAAGAGTGATAAGAGTTAAATGACGTTATCAAATTTTACAAGTAATAGCAAAACCCAAAAAGCAAACAGACTATATTTGAATGTAAGTTTGTATGCTTATGTTCTCCAATTATCAGAACATTGAATTAGTAAAAACAACTAGGAATTTCAGTGTACCAGGCACAGACATAAAAATAGTTATTTGTAATCAATGACCACAAACTTCATTATTAATTGATGATAGATATGTTTCGATATGAACACTTTGAAATTCCTTGAATAGTACTACATTCAACTAGGCAAGCACAAACACAGAGAGATTTATAGACAATAATAATAATAATAAGATTATGTCGATAAGAGCACCACCCATGATATCATCAAAAGTAGTGAATTATGAAGGAAAACGGAAAGTTAGAAAAAAATCATAATCATATATACATATGCATTTGTGTACATATATGTATAGGGGACATTTAAATAAACTATTAGAGTTCACTTCGAACTGGTGTAAGTCGAGGTTTCTTGGCACGTTTAACACTTGATTTTTTCGCTTTACGTGCTGATTCTGCTCTCAGTTTCTCTCTAATCATTTTCTATAAAAACAAATAAAGCGATAATACGAGGTGAAGAAAAGAAACAGGCAGATTGATACAAATTTAAACGAAAAACAAACTGTAGTCAGTTAGGGGAGATACCAATGAAAATCAAGCAACACACACACAAACTGAGTATCTTAGCTGTTTTGTCATAGTGTGGGATTACTGATATGTTTGTATAAAACGACGATTGTTTTGTACTTTATTGAATGCTTAATTCCAATTACGATACAATACATTTACATGTGTGTATGGTCTTTTTATCATCATCATTTCTTGGTACATTCGTGACTACTAAAGTATGTATTGGGCAGGTCTGGGTGCTAGTAGTTCATATATTACACTAAATGCTGCAATTACTTTCATTTATCATAACTACTACTCAGTGATGTGAATTCATGTTTCGAGATAAAATTGAACTAACTAATATCATTAGGTCTGTAGTTAACACAATTTTAGACCACTAACTTTGAAATCAATTTGTTTGATATGTAATGCACTTTGACGATTTCACTTGAAAGGATAGATTTTCCTCGATCTGTGCTCAAAAACCACCAAAATTTGTATTCTGATGACAATCAGTCACTAAGACATGTCAAATTACGTTGTTTATGCATTTTGCGTCTTGTAATTTATGTATGATACAATCCATTTTTATAAAAATTCATAGTATACACTATTTCAAATGATCAACGAACACTAGTTTTGAACATAATTATGTCTTTGACTGGCTTACTTCAGTCAACAAACTAACCTTTTAAGTTTAGGATTTTTAGTTATTGCTGATTAGGTTCACTGGATATTCTTAATTCTTTGAGGATTCCATAACTACTCAGCGATTTGAGCTGAAAATATTCAGCACGGCAGCTAACACACTTTATCACAGAGGTAGTCTCGTCAATTGAATACGCGTATAACCGGGTAATATGTACTAAAGAGTTTTAATTCTGATACAACTCTGTTTTAAGTCTCAATTTACATGCGTAAAGAGCTAATAAAATATTATCCAATCGTCTCAATTAACGCATATGAACAAACTATTCACGATCATACCTACTAGAAAAGATATCACATTAAACAATGTTGATATGTCAATCAGCTAGTCACTTTCAATGTTAAAAATAACTGATTTATTAGTCATAAACTAGTCTTTTTGGACTAGTAAATTTCTAACTGAGAATAATATTCCCCTTTGCAACATAGATAATCTACGAAGATTGTGCAACTTGTAAGTAGCATCACTCTTCCCTCTACACCGATAAGAGTCATCATATGATCGTTACTGAGCAGAACTCCGAGAATGTCCCTCAAAGTTTGATAATGCTGGTGATACACAACAGGTATCCCCGATGGTATTAGATAATGGTCTCATATTATTGAGCGAACCTACTGGAATTAAATACTTGAACCATTGGATAACCAAACCAGTGGTCTGAAGATAACTTATTCGGTACCAAGATCTGAAGGGTCGTGGAAGCACATTACTGAAGGGTTCTTTTTGGTGTCCCTGAATTCTCTGAGCTGGATACCTTAATCATAAAGCCATCATTGCCTTTTTAGACAACATTATCAGCACAAATTTGAAACAGATCAGAGGGGAAGATGATCAAAATCAGAGAAACAGAAGTAGCTGTTAGTCATAAAAGGAGAAATTTGAACAGATCACTTCTATTTTAAGTTCGCGCTGATGATGTTGTCTAAAATGACAATGAAAAGTTCACAACTAAACTACCAAGCTCAAAAAAATGTAACTTTAACAAAATTACCATTTTGAGCTACAGATCTTCTCTACTATTTCAAAGATGATAAATTTTGTACAAACTTAAAATAATTGTTTAGTTGTACTTGGTTTTCTAACTATGATTAGTAGTACATAACAGGTACTGTAAATATTTCATACCAAAAATAAAAAAATTCCGAATTACATTTGTACAACTAACAAATTACTTGAAAAATAAATCACCAGATAATAATTTTTTGAGATCATGAACCGATTGATGTTAGACCACTATTGAAAATCTGGAAGCACTGGACGACCGTTTCGTCCTGTTGTATGACTCTTCAGCAGTGCGTATCTACGATCCCGCTTGCGGGATCATCAATCGGTTCATGATCTCAATAAAAAACTTAACAATCACCACAACCCCTAAACTAATAATATTTTTTCAATAAATTTACCTGATCTGAACTAAACTCATTTACATAATTTGAATCTCTGATTACAAAATTTAATTCTTGTTCAGTTAAATGTAAAATATTTTCATCTGATTTACTCATTAATTGTGATTCACGTAATAAATTAAATGACCATTTTAATAATATAGATATCTCATCAATTCCATCATAATGTGAATGATAAACATCAGGAAAACGTAGAATTAAATCACATAGTACAGCTGTATTTTCAAAAGTTAATGCGAAAGCTGAAAAGAATTTTTTTTAGAAAAGAAAAAGGAAACGGATAAACAATAACTAATTACAACATAATTTTAATAAATAAGAAAGTTCGACGGAAAGGGAATTTGTTGTATCCGAAGGAGACTAAATTATGGGTAACGTCTGGGAACTACTTATGGACTGTCATTACAATATATGTAAACTTATTGTATAACTGTTAAGTAACTGGATTATATATATATTTATATTTCTCTTATTATAAGCTTTCATTTGACTCACTGGCCACTATTATACGATTTACTATTCTTAAGTTATTCCCAATCTATTAGTTACGGTCTTTCACACTCACAACCACTCTTGGCTTGACCTTGTATAATAATTATTTTTCATTTTATAGTGTGATGGGATCGCGTCTGCTTGTATATAAACTACGTATATCTGAAATATACGATTTATATAGTGGAGGCTGAGATTATGTCCTGGACTCAACGGGTAGGCTAGAAGGACTGATAAGTGTTCAGAGTTGACGCAAGGCTGTTGTGCTGGTTGATGTGTCATTGCTTTAGCACAGGAACAAGGTCATATAAGTCGGTATTCTAATTGGAGATTTTATTGCATGATATTTGGCGGGCTTCAGGACGTAACAGAATATATATATATATATATATATATATAAACCTGGAAAATGATGGCTTAGTGGTTACGGCGTTCGAATTTTAGCCGTTAAGTCCTAGCTTCGAACCCTGTGTCATTTCCTTCGATTCGGACAACCAGGTAGTATCGTTAGCCTTCAAAATTACAGTGTGGCTCATACTTGTGCACCTGATGAAGAGATGTGTATTTTGCATACCAAATTGATAGAGATTTGTAGTAAGTGGAGAATTTTCGAATTATTGAGTTTTCTTAGAGAAATTGTTCAGTGCTGGAAAATTGATTGTTGTTCTGAGCAACATTATTAAAGCTAAATTCATATATAAGTGAGCTTTTTAATTATTTTCTGAGTGTTAAAGCAGCCTGTTCTGATGACTTTGGTTGTGAATAGTCACCGCCAACGTATCTTTGTCTAAGGATCATTTATGTAGATAATAGCGAATCGATAATGTAAAGGTCAACGTCTTAGGAAAGAACTAATGATGTTAAAATTCAAATTTCTTCAGTATAATGTGGGTTGTGAAGATTGTTAAATTTTTTAGTTGAGCACCATGGGTTGGTCTTAGTTTGACCGAAGTCAGAAATGTAAGTCACTGGATGCCAACTGGCTGATTTGAAGGTTAACAGCTCGTTTCAAGATCTGAAAATCTTACGTTCAATCTGCAGCAGTTGTAGATGACAATGCTGAGGAATCTCGTCAATGGCTGCTTAACTAAAGTCACTTTGTGGTGTAAAACAATGAAGGTCTAGTTGTTAGACAAAAATTGCCAGTAACTATTATTATTATTATTATTATTATTATTATTATTATTATTATTATTATTATTATTATTATATACTTACCTTGTCCTATTGTATCATTTTTAGTCTCTGAATTAATATCAGTATTATTTAGTATTTTGCGTGATTCCTGGAGAATCTAATAAAGTAATAGTAACAACCATGACGAGAACAAAAGGAAATTATTAACTTGAAGCAAAAATCAATATTAATGAGTGTATTTATCATCCCAACTAAAATCATATTAAGTGAAACTGTAGTGAAATTATAGTTTTTTAGACCAAAGTTTTCAAAGTAAAGGGATTGTGCTTAGTTGACTTGTATGTGTATTAACGAACGCTCGTTTAATCTTGTTTAGACAGATTATTGTTACTACCCTTGTCTCCTCTAACTGAAGTAGGAAGAAGTTAGGGTCTCAACTTGTTGCCCTAATGGTTGGTACCATTCTATACAATCTAGTGAGTGAGTGGGCATAATAACAGTTTCAGTTTAAATTATAAAATATTAACACTCGGTGGAATACACAGTAAATTCAGCCGATAAGAAACAAGTGAGATGGAAATATCCAAACATACTACCGAACATCATGAAAACAAACGACAATTTGAATAAACCCGAGAAACTTGTATTTTTATTATTAGTAATAGATCCGAATTATAGTATTATGTATTTACTAGGATATGTTTTGAGAGTTGACAAAAATTAATTCAACAAATAACTAAACAAACTCTGATTTCTTTTTATTGATCGACTGCTCCCTGGCTAAATCAGGCCAAGGATTGTTTACTGTACAATTAATATGAAGCAAACAAGCAAACAGGATAAAATGGGCAATATATCCATACCTATGACTATATACACAATAGAGACTTAACTTTTATCGTTCAATTCAAGTCAGTAACCAAGTACGGATTGGTGTACTTGTCTTTGTGAGTAACAATAATTATCTAATAAATGATGACTAGTAATGTAACCTGATTATCTAGACCATACAAAGAGGAGTGGGGTTCAAACCTGTGATCTCAATTAGTCAGTCAGCTAAAACGTAGGATCAGGCACATATATGCATCGATCCAAGTTGCCATATCGCATTAGCACAACAAGATGAACACTGAATTCATGGAAGCAATTAACTCAATGGTGGTAATATATAAAAGAAAGATTGCATGAAAAGATATAGTACAGGAAGAAAGATTTAGTACGTGGAAAGATATGAGGCGATTTTAATCTCTTAGTTTAAGGGAAAGCAGAGAGTGTATACACCTACACCATCGTGATGGATTCTGAGCCATATCACCCACAGTCCCCAACCATTGGTTACGATAGTCACGCGGACCCCAACCAAGTAGTCTGCATCTACCAACATGGCTCATACCAGAAGTTAGTGACTTCAAGCACTGATGCCACTTTTTGGTTTGGCCACCCCTAACTTCCTTCCAACTATCCCCAACACCGGTTAGCAATCCACTTTGTGGTAATTGATGTTCAGGCATACGCGACACGTGGCCCAACCATCTCAGTCGATGAAGAATCACAACCTCATCAACTGATTTACCATCATTCCCTAATACCCTGTATCTAACCTCACTATTACTTACCCGGTGATCCCAGCAGATGCCAGTAATATTTCTAAGGCATCTGTGGTCAAATACTAGTAGCTTACGAGTGTCTTCGACTCTTAATGGCCATGTTTTGCGGCCTAATACCCTGTGATCTCAATAGTTGAAAGTAATCTATCATTCCTATTAGTCTTGTATATAATATACACACATGCGTGTAGGTCGAACATTTAAGAAAATATTATAATAGCCAGTTAAAACTAAGCAGCAATTTGTGAATTTTTAAATTGAATTCAGCTTTCTTAACGGACCAATATCCGTTGGAGTATTATTGAAGACCAAAAAACACTTAACAGTAGTTTTGTCCAAATTTGGGACTCCTCTTCAGCAAATAAAGGCCAGTGAATCATAGGATTGAAGTTAAACTCTTCAAGTCTAGAGGGTAGCAATACTCTACAGATGTCCTTCCCTCCTTCAAATCAACCATGACGTAAATCCCAAATAATATAATGCGACAGTAACCTTCCAAAAATAAAAAACGAGGAGGGAAAAATATTTGAAAAACACAATACTTACATTAATAACGTTTTGAAAAATTTTCAGAGCGACATCATCTTGTCGTCCTGATGGTACTTCGGCCAGTAATCGAGCCAATTCCGTCGCATGAATTTCTCTTTTCGTACGAAAAGAAGCTTGATTATCTTTTATTTGTTATGTAATTAAGTAAAATGGCTTGTAATGAAGAGGAGTATACTTATAGAGAGATGAAGTACAACAGTGCGATAGCAACATAGAATCCGAAATAAATAATATTCAACTGGATTAATAAAGTAGTGATTAGTATGTGTGGACATGATAGTCGGATTGGTCGTGTTATTGATAAAACAATATCCTAAAATATACTTACGAGTTCTTTTCTACTCGACCATAAGAATATAGCTTGTCAAATATTTTACTGTGCTATTCAAAAACTAGGGTTGTACTTGTCAGGCTGTAAAGTCTAAACCTTTTCCTAGCTCTCTGAATATGTGGAAATACCGACGAAATTTTGAGAATTTCATTGTTTTTAAATAAAAATCGAGATGTGAAAGTGTTAGGTCCAGTTTTGTGTAGAGAGTTGTGTTGGTATACTCTTTCACACATTGACAGCCTAGTATGAAACAGCTCTTCATTGATACCTAGTTCTTCAGCCGGAGTTACCCCAAGATGAAAGATGTCTTCAACTCGAACAAATACCCATGCCGAGCACTTTACTGAAAAATAGATGAATACCAACCGATGAACAGGTTAGAAATGGATTTCCCAGTTTTAGTTGAAAAGCTGTGATATGTTGAGTAAAAGAAATAGATTCTGAAACAAATGCTTACTGGTAACAGTGAATGAAGGTAGAGCTATATAATAATTGTTTCTATTGGACAGTATGAACTAGTGTATACTGAATTAGCAGCCAAAATGCAGTATACTCATTTTATTTATTTATTTGAACACATAAATATTGGTACAAGGAGGCACCAGATACATATGCGCCACACAAAACAATGAAAATGGGAAGAGATAAAGAATGTAAGGTGTGTGTAAAAAAAAATAATAAGTGTATGGTAGTGAAATAATATTAGGGGAGGCAGAAAGGTACAACCAGAAAGAATTCTTTCAGTTAAAGAAGTTACAACCACTTTTTATGAAGAAAGTAAAAGAAGGTTACAGCAGGATCGCCACTGGCTTCTATTCTGAGCCATATCTGATAACGTCTCTAGCCACTGTGTTGCACCATCTCTAGAACTCCAGCCAGGGAGTCGAGAAGGACCAACAGAAGCCAGCCTTTTCAGTTTTCTTTCATACCACGACACTATGTCACAAACTGACCACCTCTCCACTTTTTCCAACCAGTCGCAGCGTCGGTAAATAATACACAACGAGGAATTCTCTGGGGCGTCCCCAAACGCCCTGGTATGGCCGAGAGCGGGGTGGGTTCGCCCTCCCTCTCGAAATACTCTCACACGGCCACGCGTATACAGCCTCTGCCAGGGAAGTCCTACTCACTGCCTTCTCGTGGCGGGGGTGTTGTTTACGAAAATGAGAGGACGAAAAGCGAATGTCCCGCGCTTTAACCGGATTTCAAATCTATGGTGCACATGGGCACCAGTATCCTAAGGGAACAAATGGCGTATGAACCAATTTTCGGTCACCGGCTACCATGGGACTGCATCTCCTTACGATGCTCCACTGCCTTGTGGGTTAGACCTTTAGGTCAAAGGCTCGGGGTGTGGCCCCCTAAGAAAACCACCTGCTTCGGTCTGGGCACCCGGGCAGTATCGCAGCCCACACGCAATTAATGAACTGAAATTGTGTGGCGCATATATATTTGGCGCACTCCTGTACCAATATATATGTGTTCAAATAAGATAAAAATAAATATTCTCTGGGGCGAAATTCGTAAAACATGTCCATGTTATAACTTGTCGTTTGGATGCTTATTGTCTTGGATCTTTTAATGCTACTTTTTGTAACCGGTCGTCGCCGATTGTTATGTCGGAAACGCTTATCACTTATACTCGGAACGATGGACCTCTGCAATTCCCACGACGCGAAAGTAAGAACATAAAGACTGGTATAAGTGATGATTTATTAACCCCAAAACACGACGACGACGACGACTGTAGTAGACAATACACTCATTTATATATTGATTGTACACCCATTTCGATTAATAATTAGGATGAAATCACATATATGAAAAATACTTAGAGTTATAACAAATCACAGACCGAGCATAGTTCATGTAAATGGAATACAAGAATATCGCATATTATACAGAATAAAATATCATACGAGAAAAGAAAACAACTACTACATTGAGTAATCATTACATTGAATCAAAACGGAAGTAATTACATCCATCAGAGCTGTTTCCAGAATGCCATCGATGGCAAAGTTGAAGAGTAATGGTGAGATTGGGCAATTCTGCCTAACCCCACTACTTGAGTGGAACAATGAAGAGAGGTGGTTGTATGCCCTTACTCTGCCTGAGGTGTTTGTATATAGGGCTTTTAGGATGTTTGAGGGACAGTGGACAGTAAATTTCAACTATGTTTAGCATGACAAAAACACCACCGCGGAACCGGAAGTTGGTTGAAGCTAGGAGTGTACACAACTGCATAACAACTTAGTATTCTGAAGGTTAGGCGCTTGCATCGGGGCCTCAAGGTCATGAATGCTTTTATATATATGTATATTGTCCTCAATTTTTAGGCCAAATAGGTTTGTTCGCGCACCTGTGAGTACGTCAAATGATATCATAAAGTGTTGCCATCGATGACCGAAAATCAAATGAAAAAAATAACAGCTAAACAGTTGTGGATAATATTTAATGTTTTAAATGTTCAATAAGTTTATCATAGCTAGTATTTTCAGCCGTTTTTTCTGTTTAATTAGTTAGTGAATGTTGTGTGTTGAAGCTTAATTTGCATTACGGAACTTTTGATGAACAATGAAGAAGTCGCAGACGACCTTAGCTATTAAACGTGATAACTTTAAGCATAGTTAAAATAATAGTCAACGGATTATAGAATTACATTTATAAGGATACAATGTTCATTGCGGAAAGCCCCAAACACAAAGACAGTGAAATTCGCCAAAAAGATGAGAACGGTATTGAAATAATTAAAATTCATCTATCAATAAAAAACAAATTATCATACTGAAGTAACAACAAAAGATTTTCAAAAATTAGACCAATAAAATACTGTCACAATAAACCATCATGTTTCTTAACATACATGTGTTTAGCTAACTAGAGTCTAGAAGATGGACAGGTTTATAATTCGAAAAACAGGCATGTGACTTACCGAACACTTTGTGTATGACAGACAAATTGACTGCCATGTAAAGGTTTATAAACTAAACATTGAACTACAGCAGACATTCAGATTAGATTTCGATCAATACTTGTTTATGGATTGTCTGACTAAATAAGAGTAAGGATTTGGAAGGACAGGGGTATATACCGTCTCTTCGTGGCTTCTGAAGACGCTTCCATGTTATAGTTTAAATGAAATGATAGATTCTAGTGAAAGCATTATAACATCCTTCTGAAACCTAGGAACTCAGATGTGGCAATCATAGAAATTAACGACAGTGGCTGTATGTTGTGACTCCATATACAACCATTTACTTCGAACAAGCAATAACTGGAAAAATGAAAATAGACAGTTTGACCTGGAGACTTTTATCATCAACACAACAATGGACAATGATATTCAACAAATGCTGATGCCAATTGTGAAGTGAGTGCCTAGAATTTTGTTATGAGCTCACATTCGCCTTGACAGATGAGGGAAAATGTCAACTAGACCTCCCAGAAATTGGCTTTAAAATGGAGATATTTTCAGAAAACAAGTTTAATGATAGTGCTACTAAGGAGTGCAACTAGCTTATTCCAGTCAAACAAGTGACATTACTTTATTTCTTATGTCCACTTGAAGCGCAAACTAGTTATTTCGATGAAATAACTCAATCCCCAACTGCAAAACCAGAGGAAGCACACTTTACATTAGCTAATATAAAATAACAACACCCTATAAATACGAATAGTGCGACTTTTCTGAAAAGAACTTGAGTAAAATTATATATTTATGATGGCGAATACATACTCATAATCGAAAACTGCTAATCTAACAAAACATTCACACAGAGCACTAAAGGCAAGAGGGACGTTTCTATTTAAAAATCAGCTCTTCTCAGCATGCTATAACTACTGAAGTACCTGATACGAACTCACGTTATCAGCTTTTATTAGTACCTTTAGGTTAAAAAAGAATTTCTAATGTAGCACTACATTAGTTTGCACGTGCAGGCAACGCACATGCTACCGGGTTATAGCCAGTATACTGAAAACTGGATCCTGGGTAGCTACATAGTCTCGAATTGTAACATTTGAGCTAACGCAGATCACACTTCCTAATGCTTAGAACTCAAGTTCTAGCTTAGAACTTAATATTAATTTCTAATTTGTACAGTAATATTAATGGACTTAAAGAATACAAACCAGCTGATAACTAAGTAATTCTTGAACATCGGATGAAATGTGAAGCACTTCAAACGAGGCTAAAGACAATGCTGTTTTGCTGTACTTACCTTATTTATCGTAGTGGCAACGCTTTAGGGGTATCGTCCACCGATGGGGGTTGCGAGTATTTGAAGGTCAAACCGTTGCAAAATGATTGGTTGATCAGACAATTTGAAAAACTGCCAGATTTCGTTTAGTTATGCTATTGAATGATTTGAATTGCAAAAACGACGTATAATAACGGTACAGTCTTCAGTAGTAAGGAAAGGCGATTAGTCAACCTTCATTAATCCTTGCAATTTGTAGTGCCGTGAAGATTCATTTGGACTTTAAATGCATCAAAATGAGGTGCTGATATTACGTGTTCTGGTATAGAACACCAGTAATTTAATTCTCGATATATGAAACGAAACTCCAGAAATGAACGATTCGGTCCTGGTAGTGAATTTTCTTAAAATGTCCTCTCAAGTAATCAGCCCTTGACGGAAGGAAAAGACAGAACATATTAACACATAAATCATCGTTCAGTATACGCAAAGCCAGTACTAAATCAACTCGAAACCTGCGGTAAGACAACAGAAGAAGGTTGATGAGTTTCAGTCTATCTCCATAAAGTGTATCCATGGGATCTTTTACCACTTTGATCCTTCGACGTTGAATTCGTTCTAGCATTATCTACTTCATACTTGAAACAGGGACTTACTATTGAATCTCACATTATAAATGCGGCCCCACAAAAGTCGGACAGTTTTTCGTCCAGGTGATGAAATGACTAACGGATAATTCATCAGACCCTGAAGCCTTTGGCAGAAGCATCCTGACGGTGAGTCGTAGTTCTAATGTTGCTGCTTATTATGATTCCTGTCTTTTTACTCCATCACTAGGTAACTTAATCTCGATTATTGTGCAGTATTATGATAGATTGTTGTTATTTATTTGCATGATTATACTTTGATAACTGCTCACACATCTATTCAGCTGGTGAATTAAGTTCATCCTATAATATTATTCTATCTGAGACTGTGTCAACATCATCAAAATCACCCGAAATTGATACGACGGACTACAGTACGAAGTCCTGAATAGAGGACACTTGACAGACGCATTCCAAGTGAGCACTAGAGTCAGACAAGACTGCCTACTCTCGCCTTCTCTTTCTCCTGGTGACCGACTGGCTTATTTAGACCTCGACATCTGAGGTGGAGAACGGATTACAATGGACGTCTCGGAGTCGATGAGACGATTTAGACTTCGCAGATGACCCGGCCCTTCTGTCCCATACACACGAACAAATGTAGATAAAGACAACGAGTGTGGCAGCAGCCTCCGCATTAGAATGCCTCAGTATACACAAAGTAAAAGCAAGACCTTCAAATAAAACACGAAGAACACTGACCTGTTAACACTTGATGGATAAACTCTGGAAGAGGTAAGAACTTTCACGTACCTGGGAAGCATCATCGATGAACAGGAAGAATCTGATGGTGACGTAAAAGCTATAGTTAGCAAAACAATTACAGCATTTCCACAGTTGAACAACATATGGAACTCAAAATAACTATCTGAAAGCCAACATCAAACTGGAAATCTTTGACACGAACATGTAGACAGTTTTACTGTGCGAAGCTGAAACTTTGAGGACTACCACAACCATCGTGAAAAAGTACAAGTATTTATAGATAACTATCCACACAATATACTCAATATCCGTTGACCAGATATCATCAACAACAACCTACTGTGGGAGAGAACAAACCAGCTTCCGTTTTATGAGGAAATTAGGAAAAAATGCTGTATGTGGGTAAGACACAACATTGTGGAAGTCATCATACCGCGCCTTGAGGCGAGCGCTGATTTGAAATCCTGAAGGGAAACGGAATATATGAAGACCAAACAACACATTCAGCCGGAAATTCGAGGCAGACATGAAAAGGATGAATAATAACCGGGAAGAACTGGAAAGGATTGTCCAGAACAGAGTTGAGTGGAGAATGTTGGAGGATGATCTATGCTACTCCACGTAGGGTAACAGACGTACGTAAGCAAGTAATTGAGATGCTGTGCGTGTATCTATAAATATTGATATAAGCGGAGATGGATGACACAGACGGCGTTGCTACAACCGACAAGCCATTTACACAAAGGGAAAGGGGAAAAGGATTGAGGATTGTGCTTTGCAAAACTCCGCCTTTAAAAACATTCAACGTCGATGGAGGACCATTTACGCATATCCGTTTTATGAATGGCCTTAAGCAGTAGTTTTTGGGCAATTTTATTATTGTTATACCTTGATATGAATATTAGAGCTATTCGAATCACTGTGCGCACCAAGGACTCTCGAAATAGTACAGTTTAAGGCAGATAAAACTAGATCAGTACCAATGAATCTATCATATTTGGGAATTCGTAGTACAAAGGAATCACCAGTTAGTACGAATAACACACTCGGCTGGTGTTAGGTACATGAATAACAAACCTGTTGCGCAAGTGTACATTTGCCATAATGTGACTTCGTAACCTACCAGACTTTACGTGGAAGTCTCATAGTTACCTATAAAAACTCATCCTCTCGTGACACCCAGTAACTAATACTAAAGACTTCTGAAGGATATATTGAGTCTAAGAACAGACTAATATATTTGATAAAAAAACAGCACCTGAATGGGCTAGCTATTCCGTCTTGTTCAAGTGTTCCTTAGTTCACCATCTGTGTTCTTAACCACTTCAACCATCATCGATTTTATTTCCTGCACTAGTTTAAGATTCACGTTGGTTCATTTACATCTATTCTGCAATGCGCTTCAGAACTTGGCAGGAGATATGTATAAACTGAGTAAACGCAGGTTGATTAGGGAAACCCTGTTCTCAGTGGATCGTCACGTAACAAGCAAACTTTAGTGGTTTTTCTAAAACACGCATAAGACAAATGAGCTTCGGCAGATGAGTTAAAATTTCAGAACATAATTACATGTGAGAAAATCAATCACATTTATTTCCGCCTTGTTGCGTTACATCAATACTATAGGTACTTTATGGCGGTGGACTTGTTTCTGTCTTTTGTCGTCATATTCTTATCAGCGTCTTGTGACGTTTAATTTTGCGACAGTTTCTGTTGTCGGTAGCACAAACAACATGGCCGTCTGACAACCAATGTGCCATTTTACTGCACTGACATTTGGTTGATAAGCAGGTCTTTTAGAGACAGAAAACATATATATTCTAGAATTATCCGGTCATCAAAGTTTTCAGAACACCACTCGTAGAAGATGACTTATATATGGGAAGCCCGGCAAAAATGATGGGGTTGGTTTAAGAGGCTGTTGGCTTAAACTGACATATTCCTTTTAAAAAGTATACTTTACGTAGGGGAGCTACGAATCACAATATTATCTAGCTCGGTCAGGTTATAGATGTAGTTTCTGCAGCCACTGACTATTGACACGAACCGTGTTGTGAAATGCAGAATTTTTTAGCAGCTAATCCTCTATGGATCTGAATAACCTTCATTGGTGCGAAATATCTATCAACTTCGTATGCATCCTTATTTGAACCCTTCGTGTAATCAGTCGCAATAGCGCTATATTAAAGAGCCATATTCGAAAGGTTTGAGGTTAGTCTTATATTAAACGTACCATGACTGCGTATAGAAAGTTTAAAGTGCGGTGACCGAATGAAGTGTATTGAGATAGACGCAAAACGTGCATGCACCTTCAGTAGATATAGTCTAGAGATTTAATCCAATGGTTTAGACATGCATTTAACCAGTTGCGAGTATAAACAAATTGCGGTAGTTAAGAGTCCTCAATGATTCTTGTGAATGAGTACAGAATAATCAACAAAACTAAAATCGTACACTTTATTATCTCACAATTGGTGTGCTTCATAAAAGTTCATATCGGTAAGGATTTTCAAGTTCATCGCACTATGAGACTAAAGTCGAGGCCAGTATTAGTGCACAGTTTTGCGCTGCTAGAATACAAGACCTGATTTAATATTGTGGATTTGTCATGATATGTATGGCCAATTCATGAGCCATATCATTTTCTATACTGACTCAACAAATCAGGACAGTCGTAGTGTGTCCTCTAATTAAACAATACAGAACATACTCAATGTGGTAATATAATAGTGTGCATAGTGTAAAGAGCGAGAGCATGCATAGAGTGACTATGCCTGTATAGGCGAGCCACTTGTCCTGATTAAGTGTTCCCGCGTCGAAATTTGGTGACCCTGTTCAAGTGTTTGACGTCTAATTTCAGTCTCTTCAGTGATCGTTTGTTCAGCCTTAAAGATTCTGTGATCGGGAACCGGTGTCACTACAGTAACATTTTTGTGAATTCCAGGAACTTCAGTATATACTTGTGCCACTGGTTTTTTTAGTAATGACAACGGACAATAACTTCTTAGTAATAACATACCAAAGCGTTCAAGATGGTACTGTTAAACAATATAGGTACAGAACAATCTAAATATACACTATGTATCAAGGAAAAGTCATTTGCGCTGGGAGACCCAAAATGAGAGTAAACTGGATACTATGAGGATAGAGAACTTTTAACTGACCCAAGGAATAATATGAGGTGCCTTTTTACTCGTAGTCTGTGTCCATGATCCACCACGACTGCCTCAGTCACCGACATTTCTGTTGCTAAATTACGTAAAAGTCTGACGGACAAGAAATATACGCTCAGTAAACCCTGAACTCCATGCTCATTTACAAGAAATAGCTAAATGGCCTCAAACCTGCGTTTCGGAGACGAATTGTAGTGAAGATTTACTAATGCACTTTTGACATGGTAATTTATACTAGTACACCATCAACAGAAAATCACTCCCCGATTAATTGTTAAGTATAAACTGAGAACGGATGTACATCGCACCGGACCAGTTAATAAAGGTTTTCGAACGTTGAAGTCAATTCATAAATTTCCAAAAATATTTTATGCTTCATCTCCGTGAGACCTCACCTAAGATACCGTTTTTAGAGATTTATTACATGTCTAAAGTAGATTGACAATGCACCTGAGCTCATTTAGGGCTAAGGAATTTATTCGTTAACACGTTTGTTCGGGCGCTTCCATGCAAATCGACCGAAAGAGCCAAACATTTGCTCCCTACTTTATATAACATGAAGTGACCTAATATCGACATTCCGCGTTTTCGTAAAGATTTAAGTGCCAAAATGTCTTATTTGTCTGCTCCATCTAGTGCCATTTACGTCCAGGGGTAAAAACATATTTTTTTGCGTATAACACCAAGGGAGCCAATTGTTTGGGACAGGTTTTACTTCAATAATAATAATTACGATTCGTAACTACTTTTTTACTAAAGGTTTCTAACTTGGTGTTAGTAATAAACAGCATTATCGCCGCTAAATTTTGATTACGCTTATCCACTCGAGTAGATGAAAGCGCAGACAGAAACGTGAGGCGAATGAGCCATTCAAATTTAACTTCAATCTAAACGAACATAGTATAGTAGTGTCAATATCCCCACCACGTCAACAAACTGGTCAGTGAACGCTCTCGATGGGAAATCAAATCGTGTCCCTCAAATAAGCCAATCAACTTGCTTATAGTGTTACTGAACGAGGAGAAAATATATGGTGTGAAAATTTGGATCGACACAAATTCCACTATTACGTGCTTTTTGCGATCGAATAAATAAACCAAACTATCTTAATGTGATTCAGTTGCTCAAATCCTACTTCTGGGTCGAGTATGTGGGTCGCTGGGAGCTCGTAAAGAACACTTGAGATCAACTTTATCCAAATTTTCCCATCATATTTTGTATTCAGTTCCGATGCATCTTATTTCTAAATGAGCGACATTTATCTTATAATTTTCGTGCATTTTGGGTTATTTTGAAAATGAAGACTTTGAAAAATGAGCCGATTTATGCAATTTAATTCACCTATGAATTATTCGGACATTTTACTAGTGTATGTTTGTTTTAGAAAACCAAGTGCTTGGACGTTATACGATGCGCGTCTTTCAATAGGGTGAAATTAGCCGTTTTCCCCACAAGTGCTCTCCTTTCCAGGGTGTAGTTTCTCTCATGTCATATTTATCATCAGTTTGTTCAGTTTAACACTCAAAGTGTTATCTAGAAACGTTTTAATTTCATTGAATGCTGCTTGCATAATACTGTATTTTATGTTTTGTTTGTTGGTCTTCGTGCACTGATCAACTGTTCGTTGCATTTAAATTGTCCTCATTTGAAATAAAGTTTATACAATATGTTTAGCAATATTAAGCGCAAATTAACTCACCCACGCCCAAAGCCTAATTCTTCTACTGCTCAGTGCTTAACAAAAAAGGATGAAGGAACTACAAAGAAAGACAGAGTTGAATTCGTCAGTAAGTTTCTTGTATTTTTAGCTATTGTAACGTTTTGTCTGTTTTTTCTGTATTTTTGGGGAAGAATTTCCGAACCTATAGTCATGCTGATAGTCTCGAGGCCATTAATTCAGCGTATAATTGAAATACGACTTTCCTAGGTCATCTGAACCATGAAGCACTATTTTAAAGTTGTGCATGAGAATCATACTTAGCTCCGAAAAACATGCGAACATTCATCTTAAAACACTAGGTGACAACACATTCGACTCCATGAATATCGATTTATTTACCTAGTTTTACGCTCTCGTTTTTTCTAATAATCCCATTTCGTTGGTTTTCCTATTTTATTTATCAGTCTCATGGTAAATAGATTACTTTGTATTAGGGTTCTCAATTAATTAAGTCTGATTATTTGATACCCTGTAGATAACCCCCTGCCCTCATATAAATGGTTCCAGCAGCTACTTATCACTGCCCACTAGCTAACAAGATTGCTGAGCTCGAATAAAAACACCACTCTCTGTTTCGCTTAGAATAATAAAATATGACTTTTTCTTAATTTAAGACAGTTATCTTTCCCAATGCTGTTGCAATTTGTGATGTACTGGACACGTGTATTCGTTTTTTTTATCCACCAGTCGTTGCAGGTTGACCTAAAGCATTTCAGTGACCGGTTAGTGCGTTAAACTTTATACCTCTAAGTTTAATTTAATTGTTCGATACTGGCACTAGAATTTTTGTACACTCTAGAGAGACAGCTTCACATAATTATGAATACCAGATGTCATTCATTGTAGTATGAATTGAAAAATTCAATTAACACTCATCTGAACCATCTCGTAAATTTGAACCATTTGTATGTATTAACTGTGTTTACTTTTTTGTTCTAGCGATGACTAATAGACAAATTACAAAGTGAAATAAGAATTTATCACGCTCGCTTTTTGAATGCTTCTCATTTTCTGCTTTCGATACGCACTTATTTTCGGAAGGTGGTTCGAGGTAACCAAGGTTTCATGCTATTCGGCACTCGTCAGTACGGTAGTCCGTCGTCATAAATAACCTAATGGTCCCTAACAGACTCATCCACGATCTCATTTCCTAACCATGCCTTTGTTCTTGTTTGTCAGTTTTTTTGTCTTATAGTGTTTGCCTAGACTTATGAGTTATTTCAGTTTCTTCTTAGTTCTGTTTAATTCCACCTTCATTTCATGTTTCTTTGTTTTGAGTTTAAATGTTCCGAATTTATATAGGTTCATTTAATTTGTTAACTAAACGCGAACCTGTACACCCAGTTTCCTTCATTTTTTCCTGTGAAGGCTAGTTACAGATAATATTTAACTACCCCAACCTAATTATATAGAACGAGATCTAAACCCCCACCCAATTCACTCATATTAGGTTTCAGAATAATAAAAAATAATCTATGTAGCTTATATTTCAAAAATCATAAATATATTCGCATTTCTGTCATTCACGTGTCTTGAAATCGGCTCCAGTGGCTCGGATGTATTCACTCTTTATCTTGAAGTAACTTATTTTGCAACTTCGTTCTGTCTTCTAGTTTGTCTACTATTTTCTTTTGCTAATACTGCTATTGCTACTGATAATAAAATTTGTCTCAATGATTTCATCTTTCTGTGCCGGTATGTTATGGCAACTTTAACCGATGCATATAAGTCCCAGGTTCTACGTTGCTTATGATTGATTGACTGGGTTTCTGTCACTTCGCGTTGTTCATAAGAACGAATTCTAATTTCCATGTAAACTTGGTAAAATAGGTAGTAATTTATATAAAATTTTCAGCAAGCCCCTATTTGAGTGAAAGCTTCATCAGAAAAATCACATTCAAAAATGAGATTTCATTTTCTAAACTTCAAATATCCTAAATAACTATTTCAAAATTTTGGTTCAAATTCATTTCACACGTGGTTAACATTTCGATGGTGTTAGAAAATGTTTATCATACGGGACATATTTGAAATTTAGCTGAACAAAACTATTTCTATTCACATAAAGTAACTGAAACCAGTAATAAGGATAACGGAAATTTTTTATACTGTCTCTATCTATCTATCTCTTTCATTTCCAAAAATAATCAGCTTGCTTAATATATCGATCTGTCTGTTTATTGGCTATCAGCTTCTTTGATAGCAGTATACATAACCAAGTTAATTTATCCTTTGGCAATAGTTATACGCTATGAATATAACCACATTTATATACATATGTACACATACATGCTGATACATATCGTATAACTGAGTTAAATGCTTAATGATAATAGTTGATTTTGATCAGATAATGAAATAAATTAGATTGTTTAATCATGTATTTAAAAAATGTTGAATAACTTAAGTTGAAAATAATTATAAACACATTGTGTTGTTTTCCATCAGTTTATAAAATTAAAACATACTAACGACATAAAGATAAAACTCTGTCATGAAAGGTGTTGATTCATTGTAATGTGCTCAGAAAGTTTGCTCGAATATTTTAACTTCCTTTCTAATAACTTAAAAATATAACTAAACTTACTATCCTACTGAGTATCTGGAATTCTCTTAATGATCATTTTCAAGAGATACACAGTGTGGTCAATAAATACATGAACTAGGCTGATGTGATTCCTAATAAAACTTTCGAAAAATATCAGAAAAATCACCAAATGTTTAGGGCTATTATGCAGATAAAGTACAAAAAAACTTTTATATAAATCAAACGTTTAATCGAGATCTGTAAAGACTAATAGAACAATTTGTGGTCAGAATGATCTCCGACCTTCTGTGTTGATGAAAATGTTGAATGTGTTCTATCTCTTATTGTATGATTGCCTATTCACTATTCTGATGACTAATGAATAACTGAATGTGAAAGCCTCTTCTTTCCTGTCAACTAAGTTCAACCACTTAACATTATGTTTAATGCTTTTAAAATTTGATGTCAGACAGCATATGTGTTCACTATTACGTGATGCGTGGTATATCGAAATGTAAGAGAAAAACACAATAATAACATTGATACTAGTCTCCAAACTAGATAAAAAATTTCAAATATATTACTAATCAAATTTTTTAATGGATAATGTCTTTTACTTAGCTCAAATATATTAGTGTAGGCAGCAATCATCAATAATTAGTTCTTATGTGATTACAGTGAGATTTATTTTGACGTATGGTTAATGAGTTGATGATGAAAAATATTAGGGAATTTAACATAAATTCTACAACACTTAATTTCAGTAAGACGTAAACATATTAATAAAACTAAGCGAATTCATTTACACCACTGTGACTAATTCTAAGCCATGTCACCCAACGTCTGCACTCACTGATCCCAGTTATTGCATGAACCCTAACTAGGTAGCCTTCACTTACCAACATGACCTAATCCAACAGTTGGGGATTTCATGAAGTGATGTCACGTTTTCGTTTGGTTCACTCCCAACTTTCTCCTAACTTACTTCTACATCACCAGTAAAAATCGTACATCAAAAATAAGAAGAAAGTATAAGGTGTCTTAAGATCTGTAGAAAAGTTAGAGAATAGATGCAATTAATCCGTTGTAGCCGATTTTAAACCATTTAGTAATTGTGATGTAAATATAGAAATAGTGTACCTCATTAGTCAAATTCACGTCCATACACTATACTTTAATTCACACGTGTTTACGTATGTACGTATATATGTATTAGGTTAATTAACAATACTCAGTTGCCCAAATCGAAGTAGATGGAGCAAGATTTCAATTCCATACACACATTAGATAAAACTCGTTTATGTTTATCGCTAAATCATCGTTTTACACGGACGGAAAATCATATAATGTTTGCACTTCTTCACACTACTGTTACCCCAGTGATATTTATCCATTAACTATTAAAAACAAGATCAATTCGATAAATAAAGGCATTAGTTGAATTATGAAAGGACTATCAAAAGTAATCTACTTTATTCAGTAGGATATTTACATTTCATATTTAAATACAGGAAACCGATTCAAATCAAACCATGACTAAAATTTTCCTCTTACTCATTATATCTATTCTTAGAAATTTTTCTTGCAACAAAAGCTATCTCTGATCATCTTGGTTTGTGACAAATTAAGCATAATCTTTTAATGAACTCTCTAGCAATTTGTTCTTATGCTTTTTCTGTTCATTTTGAACCGTATAATCCAGTTTCATATTGAATGAGATTTTTAAGTAGATTTATATTCACTTTTATAATAGCTTTCTTTTGTCTAGTGAAATCAATTAGAAACCATTTTGAAAAATATTCACATATAGTTTAAAGATAATATGGTTTGTATTTGATTACAATAGTGAGCGAATGTTTACATCTTGTAAATCTTGAGTTTTATTATCACAGAATGCATTTTAATTTGTTTTTCGCTTTATATTTTCTATGTTGCTGTTATTATTATGACTTCCTGGCCTTCCTTTTTTCATTTTCACTTTTATTACGCTGGTTTGAAGTTTGGAACAACGTAAATTGATTCGCAGATGTGTGTATCAAATCTCACATTGTTTGTATCCAATTAATGGATCGACTGTTTGATACATTTCTAAACAATTAGAATTGAAATGTGACATAAATTGGTGGTTGGGAGAAGTAGATAGGAAATCCTGGACCTAGGTTTCGTGTTATTTGGTACTCGTCAGCAACGTTTACCTTTAATCTTGAGGAAACTGACGCTCCTTGACGCATTCTGTCGCAGCCACCACCTTACATCTCAATATGGTTCACGTGATGTCGGGTCACCTGGACTAGTGGTCACAATTCAACTTGATCTACAGAATTTGATCTGAACTATGAAGGACCTGACATGAAATTTGTCACTACCCAGTGATCAGTCAATTGTGAAATGGGACTGGGGCAGCTTGCTCAGTAGTTCCTACATATTACTCTTGAATTTTTTATTCCAATAATCCATATTTTCGTCTTGAATCATATAATGCATGCTCAATTTTTTTACTGCCACTAATAGTATTACTACTTACACTACTCTTTTATCTC